CCCGCTGTCGAGCCCGCATCTATCAAGGGGGAGTAGTATTGTTTGTTCAGCGTCAACGAAGGGAAGTTGAGATAATCATAAATGTGTTTTTAAAAGGCAGAAAAGCCCTTTAATAACGTCAGTCGTAGATTTCGGTATATTTGGCACTTAGAATGGTTCAAGGTAGTTTCAAGGAGTCATGATTATTTTACTTTGGAAGCTATTTTTGAAAATTGCCATATTTTATGATCCTGAGACCCACATTTTTTGATATTCGCTTGTTCAAAGATAATTCTAAGGCGCAATGACGATTCACTGTTTTTTTTTTTTTTCTTAGAGGAATGTGGAGTGCTGGTGCACCTTGCATTCGATTTTTTTTTTAAAGATTCTATTTTTTTGACACAGAGCACGAGCACGGGGAGCGGCAGGTAGAGAGAGAGGAATCCCCCCCCCCGCGCTGTGGGGCTCGAACCCAGGACCCCAGGACCAGGACCTGAGCCAAAGGCAGATGCCTAATGGACTGAGCCACCCAAGTGCGCCTCACTGGGGTCTTTTTTTTTAAATTTTTATTTATTTATGATAGTCACAGAGAGAGAGAGAGAGGCAGAGACACAGGCAGAGGGAGAAGTAGGCTCCATGCACCGGGAGCCCGACGTGGGATTCGATCCGGGTCTCCAGGATCGTGCCCTGGGTCAAAGGCAGGCGCTAAACCGCTGCGCCACCCAGGGATCCCCTCTCACTGGGGTCTTAAATTAGAGGACATCTAGTTTTTTTTTATTACCCCCCCCATGAGTTCTCTCCCCTCCTGCTGACCGTGAACTTTCTAAACAAGGGCACCGGCTCTAACCTGATCCCCTCTCCACTGAGGCGTTTCCCCAGTACTTTCTTTTAGTAAGGTCTCGGCTTTCTGGATTTCCGATCCAAATATTTCCTTCCGTGGCTTTTTAAAAAGATTTCATTTATTTGAGAGAGCGAGAGCACGAGGAGAGCAGCGAGAGGGGGAGGGAGAAGCGGGCTCCCTGCAGAGCAGGGAACCCCATGGGGGGGGCTCCATCCCAAGACTGCGACCTGAGCTGAAGGCTGACGCGTCCCCCACTGAGCCACCCAGACACCCCTCCTTCTGTGGCTTTTTACTTTGAATTTATCTTCACTTTCTTTCTGAAAGTTTAAACTTTTCAACTGACTTTAATTTCTGGTGTGATAATCTAACACAAAAGAGTAAGTGCTAACGCTCGCCCCTTAGGACAGTTACCTGCCCCCGTCTGCAAGGAAATGTGGGACAGGGAGTCAGTGCTATTCTCCAGAAGCCCTGTGCTTGCGTGTGATCATCAAAAAGCCTTTGCTGTTTGACAAATACTACAGGAACCCAGATCCTGTCTGGGTCTTAAAAGAGCACCTTCTCCAACCTCTTTTTTTTTGGGGGGGGGTAAGATCTGCACTTTCCTGTCCCCTTTTTTAACTGCCCAAGTGAAATAATCCCCCACTGCATCCTAATAGGCTCACGTGAAGCCCTGTTTCAAGAAAAGCTCCCAGGGGATCCCTGGGTGGCTCAGCGGTTTAGCGCCTGCCTTTGGCCCAGGGCACGATCCTGGAGTCCCAGGATCGAGTCCCACATCGGGCTCCCGGCATGGAGCCTGCTTCTCCCCCCTCTCTCTCTGTCTATCATGAATCAATCAATAAATCTTAAAAAAAAAAAAAAAAAGAAAAGCTCCTAGGGACGAATGGTTTATTTCAGGGAAAACCCCAAAACACCAAGAATCTCAAAGTCACTCAACAGCAAAACACCGGAGCAGCCGAGAAGGAACTAAAATCAGTGTCTCAGCCGTGACCTGGGAAGGCGTCCCTACTTTTTACCCTTATTTCCTCTGAATGCTTTCTCCTTTGTAACTCATCCATCTGCTTGGCTGTTAGGCAGACTGATCCCACAACGTAAGGGTACTTTCTACCACAGGGAGGCCCTAGGTCCTCCCATGGAAATGCACCCGCCTTTAGAACAACAGAGGCCTACTGGGGCCGTTGGAAACCTTGATGATGCTTAGAGAAATCCATGCCGTGTTATACAGGAGGCTACTGCTTACAAAATACTCTTTGTTACATGCAAAACCAGAGGACTACTCGCTATGCTTTTCTTCAAATGGCTGTCTAAAAATAACAGATTCCCCCCACCCACTCGGATTTGTAGCTAAAGGAGTGAAAGGTGGATTCTTAAGTGATCACCCACAATCTGGTTTGTTGTTTAGCCAAGGATGGAGACTGGGTGATGAGGGCAAGGGCACAGTGATGCCTTCTCTTGCTTCAAACTTTTTCTTTTACTTTACTTTTTTTTAAAAATATTTTATTTATTCATGAGAGAGAGAGAGAGACGGAGAGAGAGGCAGAGACACAGGCAGAGGGAGAAGCAGGCTCCATGCAGGGAGCCCGACGTGGGACTGGATCCCAGGACCCCAGGGTCACGCCCTGAGCCAAAGGCAGATGCTCAACCACTGAGCCACCCAGGCGTCCCCTGCTTCAAGTTTTCATTGTTAAGTGAACATGTTCAATAGGATGCCCAATACTAAGCTGTCCCTAGGTAATGAGAAGTGTTAAGTAATCACAAATAAGCTAATCTTTCTTCTGTTTAGAGAGAGTGAGAGCACATAGGGGAGGGAAGGAGGGCCAGAGGGAGAGACAGAATCTCAAGATGACTCCAAGCTCAGAGTGGAGCCTGACACGGGGCCTGATCTCATGACCCAGGCTGAAGTCAAGTCAGACGCTCAACTGAGCCACCACCCAGGCATCCCTTAAATAAGCTAATCTTTCTTAAATTTGACACTAGTTTTTTTCTACTCATAACTGACAAACTGATTTTCATTTATACAGTTGGGTTTCACTATGGATTTTATTATTATTTTTTCACTATGGATTATTTACAGCAATCACGGTTCTCCACGTGAAACGGCTACCGATTCACGTTCACGGAGGGGACTGCCAGCATGGCTGGAATGTTTACCCTCACCCTGAGGGTGGTGACCACAGCCTCATTTCAACAAGTGTCATTCAGTACTGGACCATCAAGAAGGCTCAAGAAATTGCAGCATTTAAAAAAAAAAAAAAGAAAACTGCAGTATTTTCATCTTTCTGGGAAACAGAGACAGGGATTACTGGAAGATCAGCAAGGAGTCATCTGCGACACAGACATTTCACCTCATATAGATTCTGAGAAATGGGAGGAGGACTACATCCCAAACTACACCTTGGTATTTGCCAAGGACAAGTATTTAGGACTGGGAATCAGACAATACCACCTGGACATCTGTGTTACTTGTCCTTGCACTCTGAAACTCTTAGGCACAGCTCCGAATGGCTGATGTCGATCTCCAGGACGCTACTTGCTCCCCCATGCAAAGAAGAGGATGGGGAGCAAGATGGAAAACACCCCTCTGGAGATGAAACCCCTCCTTGATCAACCATAATTTATGGAACTGTGAAAGCTGTGCAATCCCACAGTGTGTCTGTCCCACCCCACTCCCTTGGACTTGGGAGAACCCAGTAGAGCGCTGGTTTCACTGCATTGAGTTCTACCCCAGTGTCTCTTGCAGCTGCTGCCTGCCTGGCTCGGGAAGACACCGCAGCCCTTCATCTAACCCCAGGGCTCAAGTGCAAAGGGAGAGATTGGATTAACTTCGCCTCTTGCTTCTCCCCGCAACACAACTGCACTCAATCTAATTACAAAATATTCTGAACCAAACCTCAGGTCTATTTGAGGAATGTCTTTAAATGAAAGGATGGAAGGAAAATAAATGTCTGATTTGGCCATTCTTAACACCTGCTTTTGTTTTTGCTTTGTATGCGTACCAATAAGCAAGTGGATAGTGTTTTTCGATATTTCCTTCTTTTTAAGTCGGCTGCCAAACTGGGTGGTTCAGAGACACTGAGTTAGGAAAAGAACAAGCTTTCTATTGATATTTATGTATCAGCCTTAAAGTTATCTATTTATTTATTCATTTATTTATTTTTTAGCCTTAAAGTTTTTTAATGTGCTATATATGCTATATTTTGAACATACTATATGAGTTATAATAAAACATGTATGTAATTAACCAATAACGGTGTACACCGGTGGATACGTGCTCAAAATTTTTTATCAATGGGCTGCATGATTAAAAAGCTTTGAAGATACTGTTCTAATGATCGTACTATCTTTTGTAGGTCACAGACACGCAGGAGTGAATTAAAAGATATAAGCAAAATTGGCACCTTTTTAAGTAGTAAAAAAAAAAAAAAAAAAAAAAAAAGATGTTTTGCAACCCAGAGACGATCTTGCCATAAAGATGACTTCACTACTCCACAAATCTAGTGTCTCTAAGAGGCAGAAAATGCCTGCTTCGCCAGGGGCACAAATAGTTTGGGATCAGCTTAATTACTGGTCTGTCTTTGATCTATTCCTTTCAGTTTACAGTTGCTTATTAACTTTAACGGGGAGCCACATGCTAAAGAGAGACTGTGCCTGGTGAAACCTAACAAGAACGGCAAGAAATGAACGGAACAGGAGAGACCATTTGATCAGAAATACTCGCGTCCCCGCTCTGGAAGGATCAGTCCACTTTACTCTCTATAACTACTGAATAAAACACATATAGCCAAGTCTTTAAAAATACAAAAGCTAAAAAAAATAAAAATAAAAAAAGATAATAATACAAAAGCTGCTTTTAAAAAAGAGGGCCACTTTTTGACGCAGACTCAGGCTCATGGCACTTGGCCTATTCCAATCTTCAGTCTAGAATGGACATGGATAGAGATCTTTGAACAGGACAACTTAAACATACGCAGGGCAAGGCTAGTAGCTCATCCTGAAATTTCTGTTTGGCACCGGAAGACTAAGGCCACCCTGTGCATGCCTGTTTGTTTTTTTTTTTTTAATAACTTTTCTCCCTCGCTGGCCAAAACCAAAACTAGAAACATGCATACGCATGCACGCAGACACACAAACAGATGAGACCGGGAACGATCTGCAGGTGGCTTGTAAGAATAAGGCACGGTACCTGGTATGCTCTCTAATTTCCGTCTGAGCTCTTCATTTTCTTGTTGTAGTGAAATAACCTCCTGCTCCAGCTCTTGGCATCTAGGGCAGTAGCCTTCCTCTTCCTCCTCTTCTTCCTCCTCCGGCAGTGTAGAAGAGGACGGGTGACCGTGGGATTCGGAGGTTGCCGGGGAGGTCCAGCCACCTAGTGTATGCACGGGGGAGGTTGACAGAGGATCCATGTCGGCCAGCTGGCCATACTCACTGACTGAAGAGGTGTTTGGAGTTGGAAAGCTCCCTGAGAGCAGGTAATTCTGTAGGGAGTCAGTGAAAACCCTCAAAAAGGCAGAAGTCTGTTGTTTCCTTTGCATATATTGCATGTCTACGTCTATGTTATCTGAGGTCTGACTGTGGACCCCTTTCCCGATGGGACACTGCTCCTGTCTTTCGGTATAACTGGAGCCTTCCTGCTTTACACAAGAAATCATGGATTGAGAATGGTTGGAGTCCAGAAGCTTTCCTCCACAATTTAAGAGACTAAGAACTCGACTGCATTGCTGGGCAAAGGCATCCAAGATCATTCGACTCTCTGAAACACACGAAAAGACACATCAGAGATGGACAGCCAAAGACAAGGGAGAAGGTCCTCAATTTTGAGGTTAACGTTCAAAAATGTCAAAGATGTGCATTTCTGTCCTCCACCCCCCAACTACGGTGACAAGGCAGGATGCATTGGCTTCCTGTCATGCTGTAACCAGGTGGGTGCCCCAAGAGTTACCTCCACCCCTTACTCTGGGAATCGGCTGGACTGCGACTCTGGGCACCAGAGAGACCTCTCCCTCGCTGTGGCATTAACTGGCCTGCACAGGCCTGAATTCACACCTTTGGCTTCATGAATATCGTTACTCTAATGAATCGACCCGGCCACTGCAGACTCAATTCCTCATTGATAGGAGGGCTCACGGCAATCATTACTTCTATTTCTGGAGTGCCCTCATGCCCTTGCTATTAATCAGCTGATACAATCCCTGCCGAGAGTATGTTGCTCCCAGATGCAAACTGGAGAAGAAAGAGAAGTCCTTCTGAAGAGCTCACTAGACCTCTGAGGTAAAACAGAGAGTGGCCTATAAGGCAAACGATGACGAGCCCGAAAGCAACACCGTGCTATCCGACACCTGTGCTCGCTACGCTTTCTTTCCATTGATCTGCGGACTTGGATTTCTTGTGAAGGCCAATGTTTATGCCAATCTGTAAGAAGCATCATGTGGAAAGCAGCAGTGCCTCTTCGTACAGCCTTCCATCAGATTGCCAAACCTCTTAAAATGGCACGCACGCACGGAGCGTGCTGGTTAGTTCACGGAAACGCCTTCTAACGCAAATTAATTGTCAATCAGAGGAACGTAAAAACCAAATGGAAACCCATCAGCTTAGAAAAACAAACTAAAACCTCTCAAGTCGGTGAAAACGTGTTTTCATGACGTCAGCCTACGGGTCTTAAAAATTCACCCTAAATGCAAATGTCACAGGTACATTCTCTTCTTTCCTGACCACCACCTGAGACAAGACTACCTGTAAATACAGAGAGGTGCGCTGTAAGGCTTACACGGAGGTAGTGGATGCCTCTCATCTTCTTCTCTGCTCTACTCAGAAGAATGGCTACAAACAAAATACTATAGATCTTAGATTCCAGCAGCTATTTATGATAGAAATTTAGCTACCTACTTGCTATTTCTGACCATGTTGATCAGCTGTATTTTTGAGGGGGGACAAACTTTAGAAATGAAAAATGGTGAGATGCTGGAGGGCTTTTATGGGGACAACGATATCTTTACTGAATATATGCAGGGCCTCTTGTAAAAAAAGATAAGATTTGAGTTTATAGAATTTCATATTTCCTTGGCTGGGGTGGCAAGAGCACTCTGGGCAGGCTGTGAGTCCACAGGGCTATTTTCCTCCTGGCACAGCGCATTCCTGCTCCTAGGAACAATACTGCCCTTAGACACAGGCAGGAGGGGGGGGGGCTGCCCTAACCGTCCTCCTCCATCCCGCCCTCTCCCCATGGTGAGGTACCCAAGATCCAGGAGTTCCTTACTCAAACTGCTTCGAGGGCCTGTGCTGGACTCTTCCCTGAGCCATTCTCCCAAAGACAGACCATGGTGCCAGAGCGTGGAGGTTTGGACTGGGGCATCCATTCGTGTGTATGTGAGGTTCCTCCTAGTGGAAGAAGCTGGGGGTGGGGAGAGAAGGCCATGGGCTGGCTGAAAACTCCAAAGTCAAATCTGATCATTAAGAAGGCGTCTTTGTCAGGGTAGGTGGATGGAACATACTTTATTTACCAGTTTGTTAATTATATTTAGATACGTGGTATGTAGGCCTGCATTTGTACTTTTGTTCTAAACCCCACAAATATTAGGCACAGGCCTGTTTTTAACACAGTGATTTTTGAGTCCTGAAGAAAGAACCAGAAGTCAAGTACACGGTCAGGCTAGAACTGACCGATGGGCTGGGAACTGCATTGAACAGGCCGGCAGGATAAAAGTCCACTTGCTATTTTGGAGGAAAATGGATATGGATATGGGAAGTATCTTTTCACACCAAAACACTAGAATTGATGCCTCTGCCCCTGCCAGGTAGAAGGGAAGAACTGTTCGAACCCATGATTTAAACCAAAAAGTAATGGGAAAGACCTGAGGCATTTGGGTATTATTTCTTTCTATTGACCCAAACCAGATAAACTGCCGAACCATATAAACAGGAAGACTTAAGATGTTGCACTGTCATCTTCACTTCCGGGTTTTTGTTCTATTACTAGTAAAATCAAAGGATGATATTGATTGGGAATTTTCAATTCTAGCACACTAGCAGTTTTCATTCATTTTAATCCTATAATCCCATTCTAGACCTGAAGTTGTATTTACCGTTTGCATTTTAATCAGCACAGTCTCAATTGATTTACATCCTATGCACCTTTACCATAACCTTGATGAAAGGAACAAAATATGAAAAGAAAGGCGAAAACAGAGGTGCCTATAAGGAATTGCCCGAATAGCACACTCAGTAGCTTTCATCATACTGATAAATCACATCAGGGTATAGATTTTAAGGGAAAAAAAAAAACCTGATTTAGGGACAAGCATGATTTGTTTTCTTAATTGAAGGATAAACTTGTAACACGCCGAAAAAAATCATCATGCAACACACTACATTATGAAGATAATGTATTAAAGTGCACTCACAATATCAGAGAATAGCTTTAACCATAAAACAGTTCTTGCCTTCAGTGTTTTAAAACGCTTCATTCTGATTTTGTTCTAAGAGCTGACAGATGCAAAAATAGCGACCATAAGCCTTAAAGTCAAACTTCTCCTCTTTTTGGTACCTTAAGATATTTAAATAGTGTCTTAACATCAATACAAGGAAGAACATGATGAAAAATAATACTATTACACTTGGCATTAAACAGCACATCTCTCTACCTACTACACAGCCCAGCCAGCAATACCTCAGCTTTCCAGACAGAATGTGATTAGAAATGCAAGTACTACGCAGTTCCCATTATCGCTAAGAAACGGAGAAAAGTTCTGTTTTTATATGAATACAAGTGGTCGCTGACCCATGATTCTTAATTGAGCAAAGTGAGAAGATGAACATTTTGAATTTTTTTAACTTTTTTTCCCCCTAGTAGAACGCTGCACTCAAGCGATGGCAGGGAAGTAGAAAGTCAACAGTCTACAAAGGGGCTTTATAAAACTACCTGCCGTATTCCTAACTTCTCTAAAATCCAACACTGCAAAATGTAGATAAATCCCAATCACAAAGCACCGCAAAGCGACCACCTGTAATTTATTTTGCTCTACTGTGCAATCTGTTGGGATAATATCACGTTGCAAATTGTGCCGAGTCTGATTCCAAAATCTGAACCCGTGGTTATTTATTTTAATTAAAAACTTCATTTCTAGAAATTCTTGTGAATTTAAGTGGTTCAGTCTATCCTAAATCTGATAAGTGAATAAGAAGAGGGATGGGAACTCGGCAACCAAACACAGGCGCCTTTACTTTTAATGGCCTTCTTTGTAAGTAAAGCCCTGAATGGAATTTGCCCATCACAGCGGATACCCAAGAGTATTCTGTTACTATGAAGGAGATCACAGTCTTCGAGATTAGTGGTAACCTTTTGATTTTAGCCCAGTGAAGGGTGAAATATATTAATATTAAAAATGCAGAAGCAGAAAAGACTTTTTTTTTTTTTGTGATCCACTATCCTGTATCCGTATGTTCTATCTGCCAAAAGGATTTCCAGCTAGTTCAAGATAGATGGTTCCCTTAAAACATTAATGTAACTTAAGAGAGGACTTCATGGCATAGAAAATAGAAGTCAGAAAATGAAAGCATCTTTGGGAGCATCACCCTCGTCTTAAATCAGTGAACTAGGTCTTTTAAAAAAAAAAAACCACCATCCAATTTTTTTTCATAATGGCAAACATCAACACAGCAAAACAGGATGCAATTTTTCTAAATAAATAAATCAATGATGTGTCAAAAATTAACAGATGAGTTAATATACTCGGTGCTATCAAAACCAGATGGTGCTTCCTAATATCCATCCTGCTCAGTCAATCCCTGAATATTTTCTGGACCATCGGTATATAAAATAGGATGCTGCTATTTGTGATGGCAAACAAAAGCAATCATGCCTGCCAAGCACATACTATAACAGGCAGCATTTCAGCTCTGCTAGACAGAAAGTAATTAGAATGCTTTTAATGTCCAAAAGAATGATGCTGATAGGCTGCCACAGATGTGTAGATTTATGAATATTTATATGGTGGTTTATAGCTGACACTTTTATCAGTTGAAGAAGATAAAATATCTGCCTGACTCAAAAGCTTGACAGTCAGGTTAATAAAATCTCATTAAAGAGAATGACCTATGCAATTATATAGGATTTATTGTAATTCATTTTTGATTGTACTCTGCTTAAAGATGCAATTTCCCATTTCCTGATGCCAAATTTAGGCTGCATATCAAGATCTACGTGGGTTTTAACTCTAAGCCTCCCACAGAGGGAAAATATGCTTTTAAAAACCATGGTATATTACCCCTTTTAAGGGAAATTATACTCTTTGTGAGATTTTATAAGAATCCTGAAAAATCTATTTTTAATCACCTATTTCTCCTCTCAATGGTTTATGGCTTCTAATGGCAAATAAGATTCACTTCAACCTTTTCATCTTTTCCCTGTATTTACTCTGGACACTCAGCTGTATCTCTTCTATCCTTGGCGCGATTCATCACATGGATGTCTTGACTATTCTCCCTTTACTGGGTGGCTGGAGAGGCTGCAAGAACACTTTTGTGAGGGTGCAACAAGCAACTTACCACCTCCCCAGCCTCCTCCCCAATACGCTTAAATGGCGGCTGTCTGTGTGCACACACGCTCATTGGTTCAAAGTGGAACCATTAGTTCCTCCAAGGGCCAATCAGCTCTTCAGGTGACTGTCCCTCTGATGGCCACTCACATCTCTGTGCCTGTAAAGAGCCGGCTTTGTCCATCAATGATGAATTTTATGAGCACAATTCATGAGGTCTAGTACTATGGCCTTTTTTTTCTTTTTTTTTTTTCTTTTTTCTTTTTTTTTTTTTTTTTTTTTTTTTTGCTGCCAGACCATTTTCCTCACTGCATGGAAGGAACCTACCAACCAACCCATCTTTCCAACAAGCACATGGCATTCTGTCTTTGGTGCTATCAAGCTTACCTCTCTCTGACCTTAAAAAAAGAGCAGCAGCAACAGCAGCCTTGAGAATAAAAAAAAATAAAATAAAATAAAAAGATATAGGGAGTTTGAGAATAAAAGAAAATAAAAAGATATAGGGAGTTTGAGGGTGCATCAAACAAAGCCCCCTTTCACTCTTTTAGATTCAGTAGTGTGATTTCCACCTGGGAACAGAGACAAAATTAACGAAGAAACACTGAAAGAGAACATTTAGAACAAGGCGAAAAGGAAACACACAAACTCCTTGTGAAGGGAAGACCGCAAGGGCGCTGCCAGAGTGGGAAGGGGCATGGAGAGGACATCAAGTGGCAGGTGGAGAAAAGAGACACAATGCAGGGAGAAAGAACAGGAAAGAGCAACGTTAAAACTGGCTGAAAATGGAAGTGAGGGAGCAGATTCAGAGCGTAGAAAAGAAAGTAAAAGATTGAAAGATAGCGAAGATGGAAAGGAGAAAGCAAGAGGGGGTTAAAGACAGAAAGGGGGAAGACCCTGGGGGAACGTGGTGGAACTAAGGTCACCCAACGGGGCGGGCAAAAATATTGGAGAATGGGAAAAGAACTCGAGTTGGGCAGAAACAACATAAAAAGTAACGCCAAAGCACAACTAGGGCGTGAACGTGGGCATGAATCACAAAAAAATAAGAGTCTAGCCGCAGAAAGGAAGAACACAGAGCTTCCCGAGGAGGAGAGAACACAGAAGAAAAATAATGGGAAAGACGGAGGCGGGTGAGGAGCCTAAACACAAGAGAATATGGGGTGGAGACCTCAAAAAGCACCCCACAAACAGCAAGGAGCCTCGGCAAGATCCCCACTTAGAGCCGGCAAACCTCTCCCAGTCAGGCAGGGGGGTGATGGAACCAGGCTCACTATTACCTGCAATTAGGTTTTCTTTCTCAAAACCACAATCCTTCATGTGTCAAAATATTGACAAACAGCATAACGCAGGCACCGGCGCCTCTAACTCCGGTAGAGACGAGGCTCCCACTTCCATTAGGACAAAAGCCTCGGCCCGCGGACACGCAGCTTCGGGGGCTCGGAACGGCCCTTTGGGGCCCGAGGAGGAAGTTTCCGACCTGGGGGCGCCCCGGGGGCGCGGGGGGTTGGGCCAGGCCCGGCTCGGCCTCCCCGCCCGGGCGCCGGCTGCGCGCGGAGGGCCCCGCAGGGGGCGGCTCCCCGGGGCGGTCCCCGCCGGCCGCCAGGGCCGCGCGCGGCCCCAGGTGCGGCCCCGGCCTCCCCGCGGAGCCGAGCCGGCGGGCCGGGCTGGGGGGGGCGCCCCGTCCCCGGAGTGCGCCGCGGCGCCGGCAGGTGCGCACCGAGGGGCAGCGGGGCAGAGGGGCGGCGGGCGGGGCGGGCCGCGGGAGCCAGCGGGCGCGAGGAGCCGGACGCGGCGCGGGGGGCGCGGGGGCGCCGGGAGGTGCGGCGGGAGGTGCGGCGGCCCAGGGCCCAACACGGCGGCCGTCCTGGGATGCCCGGCGCCCTCCCCCCAGCCCCGGGACCCGGGGACCGCCCGCGCACCCCGCCGCCCTAGGATGCCCGGCGCCCCGCCCCGCCCCTCCCCCCTCCCGTCCCGGGACCCGGGAACCGCGCCCGCCGCCCCGGGACCCGGGGACCCCCTCCCCGCCGCCCTAGAATGCCCGGCGCCCCGGGACTGCGCCCGCCGTCCTAGGATGCCCGGCATCCCCGCCGCCCCTCCCCCCGCCCCGGGACCCGGGGACCGCCCCCCGCCACCCGCGCCCCGCCCTGGGATGCCCGGCGCCCCGCCCCCCCCCCTCCCGTCCCCGGGACCCGGGGACCCCGCCCACCCCGGGATGCCCGCCCCGCCCCCCGCCCCGGGACCGGGGGACCCCGCCCGCCCCGGGATGCCCACCCCCTCCCCGCCGTCCTAGGATGCCCCGCATCCCCGCCGCCCCTCCCCCCGCCCCGGGACCCGGGGGCGCCCGGCGTCCCGCCCCGCCCCTCCCCCCTCCCGTCCCGGGACCCGGGAACCGCGCCCGCCGCGCTGGGATGCCCGCCCCGGGATGCCCGCCCCGCCCCGCCCCCCGCCCGGGACCCAGGACCCAGGACCCAGGACCCAGGACCCCCCCGCCCCGGGATGCCCGCCGCTCGCGGAGTCCGAGCGCGGAGCCACCTGTTAGGAGGCGCGCGCGCCGTCGGAAGCTGCGCACGCGGCGGCAGGTGGCGGCGGCGGCAGGTGGCGGCGGCGGCGGCGGGGAATCCTCTGGAAGTTGCGGCGGCGCGTGGAGCCCCGGGGTTGCGCCCCGCCGCCCCCGCCCCCGCCCGCGCCCCCGCCCCGCGCCCCGCGCCCGCCCCCCGCCCGCGCGCGGGGGAAAGTTGCGGCTTGGCGCGGTACCTGCGCTGAGCTCCAGGCTGGCGCCGTCGCTGCCCGCGCTGCTGCTGCTGCTGCTGCTGCTGCTGCTGCTGCTGCTGCTGCTGCTGCCCGCGGCGGCCCCCGGGCCCGGGCCATAGCGCACGACGGCGGCGAAGGACGAGGACGAGGACGCGGCGGGGGCCGGCGGCGCCGAGGCCCTCGGGGGGCCCTGGGGCGCGGCGGGCGCGCAGGACGGAGACGACGACGAGGCGGCGGCGGCCCGGCCGGGCCCGGGGGGGAAGGAGCCCTGCGGCGGGAACGGCGGCGGCTCGCCCGCGCTGCTGCTGCTGCTGCTGCTGCTGCTGCTGCTGGAGGCGGCGGCGGGCGGCGCGAAGGGCGGCGGGGGCGGCGGCGGCGGCCGGGCGAGCGGCGGCTCGAGCAGCGGGGCCCGGTCGTAGCGCTTGGCCAGCGCCGGCCGCTTGCCCGGGAACGTCCTGAGGACGCTGTAGGGGCCGCGCTGCCGGTAGATTTTGGGGCCGCTGGGCCCCTCCTCCGCCGGCCGCAGCGCCCCCTCCATCCCGCGCCGGCCCTCCCCGCCCGCCGCCCGGCTCCGAGGGCGCCTCCGCCTCCCGCCCGCCGGCGCGGCCCGTGTGCGCGCGAGCGGGGGCCCGTGCGCCTGAGCCCGAGCCCGAGCCCGAGCCCGGGCCGCCGCCGCCGCCGCCGCCGCCCGCCGCCGCCGCCGCCGCCGCCGCCGCCGCTGGCATCGCTGAGCCCCCGCGCGGGGGGCCGCCGCCGAGCGCTGATTGACAGCGCGCCTCGCCAATGCCTGCGGGGAGAGAGCGGCGCCGGCGACCGGCCGGGCAGTAAGTGCGGGCGGGCGGGCGGGCGGGGCCGGGGCGGGGCCTGCGCGGGCGGGCGCCTCCGACGGGGGAGGGCGGCGCGGGGCCCGGGGCGCGCGCCGAGGGGCCCCAGGTGCGCGCAGGTGCGGCGAGCCCGGCCTCCCCGGGGCGCGCGCGCGGGGCGGGGCGCGGGGGCGCGGGGGCGCGGGGGCGTCGGCGGGCGGCGCGGCGTCGGGGCGCGGCCTTCGGCCCCCCCCGCCGCGACATTCGCCCCATTGTGCGCACGGGTAAGCCGAGGCTCTGCGACGCAGGTGCGCACCGCCCGAGCCTCCGGAGCGGGCGTGGCCGAGGGCGCACGCGTGGGAACCCAGACCCCCCCCCCCGCAGCACGTCCACGCTGGGCGGTGGAGGGAAATCTGGGACCGGACACCATCCAGTGGGGCGGCGACGCGCACCTGCCAGGGTGGCCCTAACACGGGTCGCGCCCCGCGTGGCCCGGCGAGCTCCCCGGTGCACTGCGGCCACACTCCCGGCGCACACGCCTCTCCGGTACTTGCAAGGCGGGAGACCCAGCGCTTTGGAGGAGGCTCCCCGGGGCGCACAGATGGATCTAGAGGCTCCTCGCAGGGGCTCCTTGGAGGGAACCATCCCTCCCCGCAACCGGCAGGGAATCTGGGTGCACTTCCCCCCCGCCCCCGCCCCCGCCCCCGCCCCCGCTCCCGCCCCCGGGGGTATGACCCTGCTTCTCCCCCCTAGAGTGACATTCCTTTTCAGAGTTTTCCTTTCACTCCTGGGAAACTGACCCACTTCCTTCCTGGGGGTTCAGGGCCTCCTCCGCCTTTTACTCCCCATCTCGCCCTTCCCTCTCTCTGCTGCTCCAGCTTCTCTGTTCCTCCACCCAGGACGGTGCCCCTCTCTTCTGCAGCCTCCTCAGATCATGCCGTGGGCAACCCCCCCTTTCCATTTATTAGAGATGAAATAAATAATGCCATAAATAAAAGTATTTGGGAGTCCAGGAACTGTCAGAGCTGATTAGGGCATAGAGGACATTTTCTTTCTCATTATGCAAAAGCATTTCATGGGGAAATAAAAGAGGTTTCATTGTAACTCATGCATGTCATATTTCAAGGAATTCAAGATATTAATCATATTTAACATTATTTGCAACGTTTCTCCCTGGCTTCTGAAAACTGCTAAATGAGGACACGTGGATCACTAGGAGAAAGGGAGACAAGCATGAGAGGGACAGTTAAGAAATAATGAAATGCTGGTAAAAGACGGGGAGAGAGAATGAGATGCCAGAGGGATGTTTCTTAGGGGCACCTAAGTGAGAAATGGGGGAGCTGCTTCTGAGACGGGAGGCAGCTGAAATTGAATGATATACTGGAGGAAATGAATGATAACAAACCTCCCCACACTTTTCTCTCTATAAAGCGGTTCTGAGTTTTGCATTGACATGTTTCCCTCCCACTTTACTCCCAGATGATTTGCCAGTAGGTCCCGGCGGTTTGGAAAGAAACCGAGGTAGCGGCAGTGTTGGCGCGGGGTGGCTTCGAGGGGAGAAGTTCACGAGGGCTTCTGCTGGAGGAGTCATTTCCCGCCCCTGAGAGCGTTCTCTTTGGGTCACGTATTTTTAGTTTGTGTCATCCTCGCCGCTTAAACCCCCGGAGAGACTGGGAACAGTACTTCTGTTGTTGTATTTTACCAACTGGAAGGACCTGCCATCCTATACATCAAAAAGTGGTCATTTCTGTAAATCTCAATGCTAAGATCAGTGATTTCGCTTTAAAAGGAAAGGTGGGGTGGGGGAGGGCTCCTAGCGGAAAAATATTAGAAATTTAGAGATGATCGACTTCCGGATCCTCATGCTAACAGTCACCTACATCTGGGTCCGTGGAAAAACGAAGTGCTTCATAATCACCCTCGGGAAAGTAAAATGGGCATTTATTCCAAGTGTGGAGTTGAACTCAATTTTAAAATTGTGACTGACCACGAGTCCCTGCCTGGGATTGCAGTTGGCTGGGTATTGTGCGGAAATGTAACGTACTGAACTGTTTATAAAATCACTGGTAGCACTTTGTAAGCATCTTTCTGTAAGTTATAGTCTAAATTATCAGATGGTGACTTTGCTGATAGCTTCTCTTTAGGGTCTCCTAGGGGCTGATGGGATGGTAATTACACCCATGTTTTAAGTCTCCTTAGATATTTACTCTTATCTCAAAAAATAAAATAAAAAGGTAGTGGACTTTTAAAAGCCAAGCGGCTATTTATGGACAGGGTGATTTTTGACTGGCAGCATGTCAATTCCTTGAGCCATCCAGAATATAGCTCTTAAATAATAAGCCAGCCATGGGAAATGCTTTTTATTGCACCAATTTCAATGATATTTAATGAGCTTCTGATTGACTGTTTGATCTCCCAATGTTTTGTGCTACTTTTAATTCATTTCGTATAATAGAAAAAAAAAGTAATTGGAATAAAATTTTGTGACAAGATAATGACCTTCTACTTTGAAATTAAATGTCTGATTAGCTTCAATATTTTAATGCTGAGATGATATTGCAGCAGGAACAGGGGTGTGCATACGATCATTTGGTGGGAAGGGCTGAGGAATACTCCTTTGCTTTTCTCCCCGCATGGCAGCGAGGGTGCAGTGGCCACAGACTCATAGCCTGGTGGTACTAGAAGGGACCCTCGTGGCTTTTTATTCTCGAGACTAACCTATGCCTATAGCTTTTCTGTGACATTGCTAAGTGTTGGACAAACCATGCCTAAATACTTCCGGTCATGGGGACCTCACTACTTCCAGAAGCATCATTCAGCCAAGGATTTGTTTGTTTGGTTTGGTTTTTTTTTTTTTTCAAGTAGACCTCACAACGGCGAGATTGTGTGCTCGACGGACTGAGCCAGCCAGATGTCCCTCACCCAAGTATTTATTCAACGGGTATTTATTGAGTGCCTACTATGTGCTGGCTACTGTTTTAAGCACTGGGGGATATAATGGAAGCAGAATCTCAGATCCTACTATTATAGAATTGGGGTGGGCAGGTGATAAATAAGCTAGAAACTAACCAAATGATATTTTACATTTATGTAATATAATAAGCAAGTACATTATATTAATGTGCTTATGTGGTTAACATTATACTAATGGAGTAAATATAACGTATGAAACGTGTATAGTATAAAATACTAGTATTGATCATCTTGCAGATACAAATAACGTTGAAAAAAATAGGACGCGGACATTACTTTAATAGAATGGTTTGAGAAGACCTCGGAGAGGGCACCGTTGAGCTGAGAGTTTACTGGTGAAAAAGAGCCATCCATGAGAAGAGGACTCCACGTTGAGGGACAACAGGTGCAGGACATGTAAGGTGGGAGCAAGTTGGAGGTCCCCGGAGGCTCAAGCAAGGGTAAGTTGTCGGAGCATCCTGTCAAGGGGCAGGGTGAGGAGATGAGGCCTGGGGGCAGGTTGGGCCCAATGGGTGGGTGCTGTATCCTGGACCCCTTGGGAAATGTTGGGCTTTTATTTTACTTTATTTTATTTTTAAAAGATTTTATTTATTTATTCATGAAACACATACACAAGAGAGGCATAGACACAGGCAGGGGGAGAAGCAGGCTCCAGGCAGGGAGCGCGTTGTGGGACTCGATCCCGGGACCCTGGGATCACGCCCTGGGCCGAAGGCTCCACCGGGCATCCCTTGGGCATTCATTTTAAATGCAACAGGAAGCTTGGAAGTGGTTTAGATGGGGAGTGACATGACCTGATGGGTGCTCTTAAAAGATAATTTTCAGAAAAGATGATAAAATTCTGACTCTCCTATTGTACACCAAAAATGAACTGATGTTAATGATTTTATTTAACTCATGGTATTCAAAGGAAAAGTAAAAAAAGCACAACTTGATACGGAATAAAGGAATGTTGAATTGAATGTGTAAATGGTTTTTCCATGCAGAAACTGGTGTTTGCACAGGGTTGGAGGGGGGTGCAGATGGGGGGGAAGGGAACCTTTACCAGACAGTTTGCATGTCTGTCAGTTACCTGAACTTTCAAAGTCGTAAAAATAGTTCAAAGTCAATGAAAGAACAGAATCAGGTAACTTGGAGAAGGGTGTGTCGTATGTAGACAATGCATGATTTTTCACCAAAAGACAATTTCTTTTCTCTTCTACAAATGCTTTTTTTTTTTCTAATTTTTAAGAAAACACTTTTTGCTTTGCAGTGATTGCAGATTTGCAGGAAGTTGCAAGGATAGTACAGAGAGGTGCTGAGCGTCCTTCGTCCATTTCTTCCAACGGGAACATTCTATGTAGCTGTAGTTACACAGATGGAATCCTGCAATATGTGATCTTTTGAGGTTTTCCACTTAGTTCAAAGCCTTTGAGATCTTTCCATGTTGTGTGTAGCAAGTTTGTTCCTTTTTATTGCTGAGTAGTACTCGGTGCTATGGAGTCCCACGCATTCAACTAGGACATTCTGGTTGTTTTCCGTTTGGGGCTGTTACAAACAAGGCTGCTCTAAAAAGTCATGTACAGGTTATCGTGTGAATGTAAATTTTCTTTTTTAAGGGAGTAAAAGTCCGGGAGTGGGTTGCTGGGTCACTATACGGTGTTTTCAAGGAGTCATTTTGCCCCGTGGGCCGTGCACTGGAGAGAATCAGATTGGCAGCCGGAGGATAATCTACTACTTTCCAAACAATGACTGAGCGACCCTTTTGAAATATAATCCTGTCTCTCCACTGCCCTGTGTTGTTTTTCTCCTCCAGAGAAGAAAATTCAGAGTCTATGCAGTTGCCTGCTTAAGGCCCTTCGTGATCCACAGCCTCCCTGCCTCTTGG